AACTTCTATTCAACGAAAGGAGACTGCGACCACACAAAAGGCCACACCATCTTAGTCTTTATACCTTCGAAATGAAAGGAAATTTAACAAGCCCAATGAATCATCAGCATTACCACCAATGGCTGGCAGAGATGGATACATTTCAAGAGCATCCGATTAAAGCAGAAGACAAAGTGCACAAGAAAGAGCAGACCGAGACAAATCTTGCATGCTAGGGCGCAAGGCAAGCGATGACGAGGGAAGAAAGAATGTTTCCAAGGCTTGCTCGCCTATAGCCAGGATGAAAGAACACAGGTCAGGGTAGACAAAGTGACCGAGCTTAAGCAGTGGCAGTCGAGATAAATGGACCTCTGAACTGGACAGCAGTCCTGGGATATTTAGCCAATCAGCTACTGGCTATCTGGTGGTCGCGACTATCATAAACAGGCAATTCGGTGAGTCACGCTGACCAATCATAAGAGAGGACACTTCAGGTCGCCTAACCATCCAATCAGAGGAAGGTGGCAGGGTTAGGGTTTCACCTAGATCGATTCTCAAGCCAACGCAACGTCGCGTTGCCCGTTTACTCATCTTCTTACTCCCTACACGGCCTTGTCGGCACTCTTTCAAACGTTTAGCCTTCCTGTACTTTCGCCTCGTTTACCTGTTTGGATTAGCTAAACAATTTAATTTTGTCTAAACCCATTAATTTTTAGTATTTCACGCCTTTAGGTTTCGCATTCCAAACGATGGTTGCGGCGGAGTTTATGTCGCAGCTGGAGCAGCTGCGCTTCGTCGAATCTACGGGGTTGGATGACTTCGCTGATAGATGTTCCTATTTGCTTTCATTCATTGTTTTGGTGATGTGCTTTACAATTGTAACCCTCAAGTCATATGTGTTCGAGCCTATGTCTTGCTATGCTGCGACTACTTATTCTGGCTCCGGAATGGGCTCTTACATTAATGCGTTTTGTTGGGTCAACGGGACAGTACCGGCGAACGTGGACACGGAGCGGCTTGAAGACTCAGCATACTGGGACGAATTAGAGAAAAAAAAATTGAGTAAGTTATACAAATCTGTGTAAGCCCTTTTAGACGACTTATGCTTATGCTAATGCTATGATCAGCTTTAAATGTTTAGTGAATTTCTTCGCTGGTTCGACTTTATATTCAGCTTTAAATTTTAGATATTTGTAATTTAGTCGATCTTGTCTTAATGAATGCAAATTTCAATTTTA